AATTAGCTATTCAGAATATATCCTTGCTAGTTTGCACTGCATGTCAGGGTGAAAAAATAGGATTTTTGTTCTAAAAGCCATTAGTAGAGATTTTATATTTAAAAGGGCAAGGAAAAATTTGAGAGACCCTCTGTTTGTGTTGATCAGATAAATACACTTAAAATGCACGAATGAAGTTTCTAAATTTGCAACACTAAAGGAATTAATAATTGACTATATGGGCCAAGCAGCATCATTGTCTTCTGCTGTATGTTCAGCAAGCTCCTATAAACCCCTGTTGCGGCACCCGATTACACCTCTGTAATCAAGGAGGCTACAGCTGAGCTCCAGCACGGAGCATGGAGTTGACCTTGACTAGCTATTGACATTGTTCCATTTTCTCCGATTGGTTTTAAAACCTAAAATTAAATATCTTGTGTGTGAAGGCAGGAAATGTTTTGGTTTTCTATCTGTTGCCATGGATGGGGAGAGGGGGCAGAGAAAATGCACAAAATTGCCACAACTGTACAGCTTTTGCTTGTTGAATTGTTATCATAAACATTTCAGGGCGCTTTCCTTTTGGTCATAATCTTTCCACTTGTGCATGCTGTGCATGCGTGACCAGGGAGGAAGAATGCATTCTAAACCAAATCTCAGCATGTCTCAGCAGGGAAAAAATGAAAAGGAGAGGAAAAGCAAAGAGAGAAAGATTATCAGGCAGGAATACTTAATGACATTTCAGAACAATGTGTAAATGCCTTTCATGATAACTGTCCACTGTCTAGAAATGAGTCACTGGATATATAACGTGTTGCAGTAACTAATCATATATCCTGTAGTGAGGAGTACTTATTCTCTCTGGCTACTGTGTTTACCAGAATAGATCCCTCTTGAATCTGATACGTTGCTGCAATACAATTCAGATCTGTGAATCAGTTACAGCGAACTATACTGTGCACTGAAATGCTGTTATGCTCATCTCTTAAGCAGAAAGAGTAAGAGATCTCTCATTTCAAATTGCCCGTAGTAGTGCCCGATCTCCA